GTAACAGGAATATCTCCTAAACGTGCGTCGTTTAGAGGATAGTCACTGTTTCTGCAGCTGATGACATTACTGGTGCATGCGCTTGGAAGGAATGGCATACTCATGCGCAGGACAGACATTATCATAACTCAGCCATTCAAACAGCCGGAGCCTGCAAACCCAGAAGGAAGACCAGGTGAAGATGGAAGCCCAGGCAGAGGTGACAGATTGCCACTGGAAGGCTTCATTTTAAGGTATTTCGTAATGTGCTAACATGCGATGCATACTAGCACAATATGATATTACCCTTCAGGAAAGTTTACTATTGCTTTAAGCTCCTCTTCTTTAGAGTGAATAACTGTAATCTATGTAATCAATCCTCATAGCTGAGGTCCTTCATCCCAATTGATTAATTTTATTGCCCTTCACTGAACGCGAATCCCAAAACATCTTTCCTGAGGATTGGTGACCAAAACTGAACCTCATATTCAAGATGAAGCTGAAGCAGTGTTTATAAAGGAGTAGAATTACTAATTTATCTCTGCAATGTATGCCTTTTTTGATGCATGACAGTATTTTGCTAGCTTTGTTAGATGTGGCTTAACATCACACATTATTGCCAAGTCTGTGTTCTACAAGCAAACCCAGATCCTTTTCTATCACGGATTGCCCCAGGGAGCCCCTCCTCATGTGTACTTTTGGAACTCATGTGCACAACTTCTCAACATTGAACCCCATCTGCAATGTAGCTGCCCAACCCCCTATTTTGTCAAGGTCTCTCTGTAATAATGCTATCCTGTGCTGGCGTTATTTCCCTGCATCATCATCACAAACCACTATATCATTCATAAACACATTGAACAGTAATGGCCCCAAGACAGAACCCTGGGACATACCACCCACAACTTTAGACCATTCAGAGAGTGAGTCATTAATCATTACTCTCTGGACCCATTCTTGTAACAAGTTTACATAGATACAATTTCATCAACTCCAACACACCCTATTTGAGAGCCGATTCACATGTGTGGTGTGGATTGAAGCTCAGGTTTCACAGCTAATTGATACAGTAGTTGTTCAGCAGTTCATGTCAGGTTTACATCAGATTTAGGACAGGATTAGCTCAGGATATTAACCTCTTCACACGTATGCGGTTTAGAAATGGATCCCATGGAAGTCCATAGCGTGTAATCCGCACCTGAACCTGAAGGCGCTGCTCAGAAATCGTACATGACTCTTTTTCAAACTGCACTGAATCTGCACTGACAGTTAACTGGACATATGTGAACAGGCACCATAGTAAGCAATGTTTTTTCATGTCATGCAGATTGGATGCGGTTTTAAACCGCATCCAAACTGCATATATGTGAACCTGCACTTATAGAATGTTTATGAAGTACAGTAACAAATGCTTTAGCAAACTCTAGGTAAACTATATCCACTTGACTTCCACCATCCAATTTCTCACTTACTTCCTCATAGAATAACAAGGTTGTTCTGACAAGAATGGTCTTTCATAAATCCATGCTGGTTGATACTAATGATACCTTTATTGTAAACAGATTTCTGTATAGAGTCCCTTACCACTCCCTCAAATACATTACATACTATTAATGTTAGACTGACTGGTTTGCAGTTTCCTGGTATACAATCTGATCCTTTTTTGTAAATTGGTATCACATTTGCTCTATTCCAATCAGTTAGTAACATTCCAGTCAGTAAGGTGTCTTTAAAAATTAGCAATAGCGACTAACAAACATTAAGGAAAATAGTGATATTACTGTGGCACCTTTGTCTATATAAAAAAAAAAAAAAAAAAGGATGGGTTTCCAGTTCACACAAGAGGACCCAAATAGCTGAAAAATCATGCACAATCATATCTGGAACTCTGTTTTTTATGGCTATGCAGCATACTAGATTTCAACAGCAGGTGGTATTGCCAGTGAATTTTAAAAATTTTAGTTATGCATCCTCAAAAAATCTGTACTGTGTACTGGAGGGGAAAACCCTGCCATCATATCAGCATATATGTGGACATGAGATTTATGGAAGATTTAACTTTTTTTCTTTTTTTTTTTTAATACCCTTTAAAAGATTATGGGCCAAGCTAAAAGGTCATTTTTTACTCACTCAGACCAAAAATCACCCATGGAACAATGGGATCCCTAGAGTGCAGGGGAAAGAGTAGTATGTATTCCGCAATGCACAATTACAGAGCCACTCAATTGTACAATTGAAGGATAATTTTACCTTCGAAACATGTAACATGTTCCAGCTCATACAGCCACTTCCTCCGCCCCCCCCCCCATGACAGCAGGCAGGGTGTTTCTACCCTCGCACCTGCTGCCACTTTTTGAAAAGCACACAGCTGCATCATTCATTCACAGCTTCCTGTGAATTAACATACACCAAGTACCAACTGCCACTGTGGCAGATGGACTTGTAGTTCAGCGGGCTGCGGTGGAGATGATGAGCGCTCTCATAGTCCATTAACATACCGTCTGGCTTACAAACAGAAAGCCCGTACAGAGATATGGGCTAAAAGCTGGAGGACATGGGTGCAATGTGGGCTCCTGCAGACGGGATCTACTGGTCATGGGTGGAATACTTTCAAGATTCCTGCTGGAAAACATAATTTAAATGCACATTTTTTTTTGCAAAAATATGTACATTTATTGTTTTTTCTATAAAAGGTCATCCTTTAATCACAGAGATACAAACACTAATCGTGTATTGTGAATCTTTCACCTAAGAGTTCTCATTGTATCATACCCTAGCAACCCACATGGCCATATTCAATATATACACATATACACAGGTGAAACTCAAAAAAATTAGAATATTGTGCAAAAGTTCATTTTTTCAGCAATGCAACTTAAAAGGTGAAACTAATATATGAGATAGACTCATTACATGCAAAGCAAGATAGTTCAAGCCATGTTTTGTCATAATTGTGATGATTATGGCCTACAGCTCATGAAAACCCCAAATCCACAATCTCAGAAAATTAGAATATTGTGAAAAGGTACAATATTCTAGGCTCAAAGTGTCCCACTCTAATCAGCTAATTAGGCCATAACACCTGCAAAGGGTTCCTGAGCCTTTAAATGGTCTCTCAGTCTGGTTCAGTAGGAATCACAATCATGGGAAAGACTGCTGACCTGACAGTTGTGCAGAAAACCATCATTGACACTCTCCATAAAGGAGGGAAAGCCTCAAAAAGGTAATTGCAAAAGAAGTTGGATGTTCCCAGAGTGCTGTATCAAAGCACATTAATAGAAAGGTATGTGGAAGGGGAAAAGTGTGGAAGAAAAAGGTGCACAAGCAGCAGGGATGACCGCAGCCGGGAGAGGATTGTCAGGAAAAGGCCATTCAAAAAGTGTTGGGGACTTTCACAAAGAGTGGACTGAGGCTGGAGTCAGTGCATCAAGAGCCACCACACACAGACGGATCCTGGACATGGGCTTCAAATGTCATATTCCTCTTGTCAAGCCGCTCCTGAACAACAAACAACGTCAGAAGCGTCTTACCTGGGCTAAAGAAAAAAAAACAGACCTGGTCTGTTGCTCATTGGTCCAAAGTCCTCTTTTGTGATGAGAGCAACTTTTACATCTCATTTGGAAACCAAGGACCCAGAGTATGGAGGAAGAATGGAGAGGCACACACTGCAAGATGCTTGAAGTCCAGTGTGAAGTTTCCACAGTCTGTGTTGATTTGGGGAGCACTGTCATCTGCTGGTGTTGGTCCACTGCGCTTCATTAAGTCCAGGGTCAACGCAACTGTCTACCAGGAGATTTTGGAGCACTTCATGCTTCCTTCCGGAGCGGAGCTTTATGGGGATGCTGACTTCATTTTCCAGCAGGACTTGGCACCTGCCCACACTTCCAAAAGCACCAAAACCTGGTTCAATGACTGTGGGATTACTGTGCTTGATTGGCCAGAACATTCGCCTGACCTGACCTTCATAGAGAATCTATGGGGCATCGCCAAGAGAAAGATGAGAGACATGAGACCAAACAATGCAGAAGAGCGGAAGGCCGCTATTGAAGCATCCTGGTCTTCCAGAACACCTCAGCAGTGCCACAGGCTGATAGCTTCCATGCCACGCCACATTGAGGCAGTAATTGCTGCAAAAGGGGCCCAAACCAAGTACATATTTATGCTTATACTTTTCAGAGGTCCAATATTGTTCTATGTACAATCCTTGTTTTATTGATTGCATGTAATATTCTAATTTTCTGAGTTTGTGGATTTGGGGTTTTCATGAGCTGTAAGCCATAATCATCACAATTGTGACAAATCACGGCTTGAACTATCTTGCTTTGCATGTAATGAGTCTCATATATTAGTTTCACCTTTTAAGTTGCATTACTGAAATAAATTAACTTTTGCACAATATTCAAATTTTTTGAGTTTCACCTGTCTATGTATACATAATATATACACACATATACACTGCATGTTGAAATACGTTATTTCAAAATATATGAAAAATATTTTTGGAATGCATTTAAAAAAAAAAAAAAAAAAATCTGAAGAATATATTTTAAAAATATATTTTTTTTAAATATATTTCTTCAGATTTTTTTTAACATATGAAAAAGCCATTTTAACAATATTTTTACATATATGTGTAAATGCATTCCAAAAATGTAGATTTGTATTTTTAAAGACACAGTATATTTGAAATATATTTTTAAAAATATTTTTCATATATTTTGTAATAAAAACGCATTTCAACATGCAATATATATATTTATTTATTTTAAATATATTATGGCCAAAATTGTAGCATTTCAAATATATTGCAATATATTTGGGAAGAATATTTTTAAAATATATTTTTCTTCCATATGGGAAATAATTAGGTCTTGCAACTAATTTTAAGAGATTTTAGTAGCACATATAAGCAACCGAAAGTCAACCTAGTACATAGTCTGTAAACAAGTCCTGCTAAAGTCATTTAAAGCAAAAAAGAATCATGCATATTATTCTACAAATATTGATGCACATCTTTGTGGTCAACTCCGAGTAGCAGTGAGGTTACATTGTTGTACAAGTTGAAGTAACTTTCCTTCTTGATTCAGTTTCCTGGTTTCAGTTCCACCTCCTATACAGGTTCCATTGACAAAAACCCTTGGTACCTGCAGAAAGAAAGAGCTTGTAATTGAAGTATGTCTTTAGTAACTGAGAGCAAGCCTAAACATGTGTTGGATATAATATTGCATTCAAATAAAGCAAAACATCCCTACAGAGATGAAAAACATAGAAAGAAGAAAGGCTAACATTTTTAAAATGCAGACTAGGCATAGGCTCTCAGGTGGATTTATGAAAACTGCAGTAAATAAAAAAAGGTTTTTAAAGATAAATTTCACAAGCATTGCCATTGTCAAGTTATGCAACTGTCCTGCTGATCCTCCATCTTCACTATTAAAGTGAACAAGAATTAAGAAGAATGATTCAGAAATACTCACATGTAGCAGTTTTGGTTTATTAATCCAAAACTGAGAGAAGCTGAACAATAAACTTGACAGGAGGACAGGGGATTGAGCAATGGCAACACCAATATTTCTCCCATTTCATTAGAAAAGACACCCCCATGTATTAACAGAAAAGAAAGTATTCAAAGCAGCTGCACTTAAACAACAAAGCCCTTGTCCCAGTAGTGCTCTAGGTGAGAACATCAGCAATTCCAGAGCCCTAATACATCTTACTTCTTATATCCATCTTAAGTCCTGTAGATGAAGACGTGTCCTTAAAATAAAAAGGTACTTGACCTAAGTGTTGCTACACAGTTGTTTTTCAAATCAATAGCCACTGGTGCTCATAACCTGAGTTGACTAGCAGTCAGCACTATGTGTTTGATGACATAAGTCATAGCGCTCAGTGTGCATTCTGTTTTCATGCTTACCTTAGCACTCATGTATACTAAAACCAAATAGAAAAGCACTGTTAATGCATGTGCAATAAGTGCTTGCTACCATGTAATGGCCAAAAAAAAAAAAAAAACACAGACAATGTTTAACCACTTGCCTACCGGGCACTTTTATCCCCCTGCCTGCATAGGCCAATTTTCAGCTTTCAGCGCTGCCACACTTTGAATGACAATTGCGCGGTCATGCAACACTGTACCCAAACAAAATTTTTTATCTTTTTTTGAGACAGAGCTTTCTTTTGGTGGTATTTAAATTACCACTCGGTTTTTTTTTTTTTTTACGGATTTGGCTACACTGATCATTAAGGGCATTGATCGTCAGTGTCCTGATGATCAGTGTCGATGTCCCCTCTAAGGAATGCTGCTTACCGGCTCTCCTCTCCTCATGCACTGTCAGTGTGAGGAGAGGACTGCCAATAACCGGCATTTCCTGTTTACATGTGATCAGCTGTGATTGGACACAGCTGATCACATGATACAGCCTGTGTCATCGGCGGTGATCGGTGGTCTGCTGTGTCCCAGAGGCACAGTGCACCACCAATGAATGCACACCTGTAGGGGTGCGCATGCGCAGCTAGAGTGGGAGGATGCCATATGACATCCTCCCAGAACGAGAGAGAACCTCCGCCAGCCTGTCATTACCTTATATGGTGGGCGGGAGGAGGTTAAAATAGTCCCTCTGGTTGAAACATTAGTCTGCTAGCCTGGCCGTACATTTTTCTAAACTAAACTGAACTGAACTTGACAGGTTAGGGGAGGGAATACAGCACAGACAGAATGGTGTAGGAGAGTAAGTCTCACCAGGTAATATACTTACCGGGGGGTAAACAAGGCGTTAGCCTGAAGCTGCATTTTTCAGGGGAGCAGTGCCATCCTCTGGAAGAGGGGACACACTGGCAGGTGAGGTACTGCCTGTGCTCTGCCACATGGGATCCAAAAGAGGTTCAGGGCTCGGTGGGAGGGTTGCAGCAGGGGTGGACTTGGCCAGGGGGCCGGCTCTGATGCCGCACCGCTTCCCTCAATATATCACATGGCTGGTGTATAGCTCAGTTAGACTTCGGATGTGTGTGGTGAGGAGCCTTCCGACTATGTCTGTCCTGTAGACACACTGGCCTCTGTACAGACACGCCCCTCACACAGCACCATCAGACAGGAGGCCACATGCAGCACTATGGATGAAGCACCACCCCTCTGCACTCAGCTCCTCCCTCGGGAGCCCATAGTGTGCCCAGTGTCTGGAGTTGTCCCCCACCCTGTTCCTTCTCTGGAGCCCTACACTAAGTAAGTGTTCCTGGAGAGGGGAATCCGCTTCACTTTGTGTTCCTGTGACTCATTCTCATCATATAACTTCCGTCCCATTCCAAACACTTCCCTGCGCACGCACGCACGCACGCACACACACACACACACACAAACACAGCACAGACTGGGGATCCACCATCGATACTGAAGAGAGGGGGTATAGAATCTTTAGGATCGATGTGACTAATCGATTTGGTGGTTCAGATTATATTTGGTTGTGTATGGATGGTGTGGTCAGTCTTCATACCAAGAATGCAGTAGGCTGCGTTTTTTTTGCAATGCAACGTGTATAAATGCATGTAAATGCAAAGCTCATGATTGCAGGTCTTTGGAAAAAAATTGTTAATAAAAGGTGAAAAAATTGAATCTGAACGCATGTAAAAATGCAATGCAGCCCATTGCAAAGCACATGTAAACATGGAGGTTTTCATAGCATTCTGGTGTGAACAGATCTTCAGGAGTCAGCTGACTTGGGACTCATTTACATGTGGGAATTTACCAGAAAAAGGCCCATGTACACCTCGTGTGCGCACAGCCATGGACAGATCTGTACCCTATACACATTAGTGGCCAGCAACACAGCTCACCTCAGCGCGTACATGTGAATGGAGTGGGTGTATCCAGGGGCGTATCTGCCGCAAGGCAAATAAGGAGTTTGCCTTGGGAGGCAGTTTATGAGGTGCAGTGGACCCGTGGAAAGGTAAAAAGAAGAGGACGAGGTCAGGGTGAAGGAGACGCCCCACTCCTAACTGCAGCTGCCGCTGGAGATCCTGGTGGAGATGGGACACAGGCTCAGCTACCGCTCCTGGCACCAGATCCTGACACCATCCAGAGGAGCCGCTGCTGGAAAAGTAAGAGCTTGGGGGACTAGTGCTTTCCCACTCCTGTCTTGTTGCTCTCCAGTCATGCTGCCCCCCTCCTTTCCAACTGCTCCCTATCTGTTCCACTTGCCCCCACCTGTCCCATTGCCCCCCCCCCCACCTGTCTCACTGCCCCCCTCCTGTCCCACGGCCCCTGTAATGCTGCCCTCCCCATGTCCTGTTGCCCCCCTCCGGTCATGCTAACCCCCCTGCTGTAACTCCCCCCCCCCCTCCTGTCTGGAAGGGGTGACTCTTAAACAGGAAGGGGTAGAAAAAATTTTAGATGGGGGGGTGCCCAATTTTAGTCTTGCCTAGGGCAACATAAAACCAAAATACACCACTAGTGATATACTAATACTAACATTACCAACACAACATTAAATTGTGTAAATATGAATCTTAAAAATTGTAATTAGAATGTAAAAATATGATAAGTAATAGGAAACTAATGGAGGTTGATTTACAAAAACTGGAGAGTGCAAAATCTGGTGCACCTCTGCATAGTAGCCAATCCACTTCTAACTTCAGCCTGTTCAATTAAGCTGTGAGAAAAAAAAATGTATGAATTCTATGGGCCAGTGGTGTCACCTCTCCACTCTGTTGGCTCAAAAGTGAAATAGAATCAGTGGCAGAAGGATTAGGTCCTTGTTCTGCTCCTCCTTTATAAACATGTTCCTTTTTAGCACATTTGCATGTAGCACACCTGATTGGCTCCAAGTGCTACTTCTGGCCCTCCTCTCAGTGCTACTGTACAGGGTATTACAAAAGGCTGATAGAAAGTCAAATTCAGGTACTTGTATAGTACTGGTTGAAACCTAAATTTAATGCTGACATTATCTTTTTTTGGGATACAACAACAAACACATTAGGTATGTGGAAGAGTGTGTATCCCATTACCTGTATATAGCTGCTTCTTCTAAAAATCATCCCTGCAGTGTCTCCTACACAGCCCTAGGATACTGCACTGAGCGGCAGTCTTCCTGCAGGAAGGTTAATGGCAGCTGCTGCTACAGAGAAAAGTTGCACTGCTCACCTGCCTGCTTCTGCCCTCTCTGCCATTCATATTATTACATTCCCATAATGAAGTGCATTCTGTGAATGGGCAGGGTGATACTGTTATTCAACTGCTCCTCCTCCATATACAAGACATGATGCATTGTGGGACAATAATAGTAAGAGTCCTATGAACAGTGGAGAGGTCAGAAGGGGGCAGACAAGTAATGCAACCTTTCTCAGGAGCAGCCACTGCTGATCATCTTCACAGAGCCGGAAGAAAGCTGCTCAAGGTAATATCTGGCGGCTGTGAAGGAAACACTGCTGTAATGATTTTTTTAAAAAGCAGCCACCTGCAGATAGTGGGATAAACACTATTACACATACCTAATGGGTTTGGTACTGCATCTCAAAACAAAAACCTACAGGTAAGCTTTAATAATGCATACCTAAATAGGTAGATGCATTGATTTTTCTTTTATATCTGACTGGAGTTTAGCTATAATGTAAACTTTACAGGAATCCTGTATCCTTATGATCCTATTATGTAGTAATTATTAATATTTGAGACAACCATTATATTCAGTGGTGTCACTAGGGTTAGTGTCACCTGGTGCAGTAAGACATGGTATCACACCCCTCCATTTTTGGGCCAGCAGCCCAACATTGGAGCTGGTTGCCACATGTTGCGGCTGTCAATAAGGCCTGCAGGCAATAGTAGAGCTATAGGATAGCAGGTTAGGCACTTCCTAATGGCTCAGTCCTTAGCATGGGTAATGGCCATCAGACCCTCTTACCAGACACAGCAAAACTGCAGCAGTGATCCCTCTGGCTTAATGTTCGCTCACTCTGGGTCGCTTGGGGCAGCTCTGGTCAGTGGTGCAGCACGTCTGCACCCTGGCAGTGGCGGGCAGCGTGGCTCTCTCTCTAAGGTGGTGCTGGGCAGCAACATGGCTCTCTCTTTCTCTAAGGTGGTGCTGGGCAGTGTGGCTCCCTCTCTTGCTTCCCCCAGCACAATCCTCTCTTTTTTTCTCTGTCTCCTGTAGCACTCACTCCCTCAGCTTTTTCCCGGGCTCCAGGCTCTCTCTCTCCCCCTCCAGCAGAGTGCATGCTGGAGGCTGTAGTCTGCTTCCTGTGGACAACAATGGGGCCACCAATTGTCTGGGACTACATGTCCCATGATGCTCCCCTAGTTTCTTCTGATTGACCCTCCACTGTGACCAAGAGGGAAACAGAGCAGGCATCAAGCTGGGTGGTGAACCTGATGAGAGCCGCTCTCTATTCTCTCACACTGCTCACAGGAGGGGGGGGGGGGGGGGCGAGTGGGAGAAACACTGACAGCCCGAAGCTCACCTCTCCCTTGTCACAGCACCGCTGCCTAAGTTTTCTGGTGGACCAAGTGTGTGGGGGGGGGGGGGGAGCCCACTGTTACTGCTTCACTGGCTGAACGGGGAGGCTTGACAGCACCTACTACAACTTCTTCCTACTTAATGGGGTTACCCCTCTGGCGAGGCCTATGGTTTGCCATGCTGAGGAGTTGGTATGACTGCAGTACTTACTGTTCTGGCTCCAGTCATCTCATGGAGTGCTGATTGTAGTTGGCTTCCATTCTCTATTTCATCTAATTCAATTGTCTTATAATTAACATTTATATCATCAAATGCTTCTTTTGCCATTGTGCAATATGGACAGGGGGTCTTAGAGAAAATTACTACACAGTTATTTGAGATGGTCTCCTGAAATGAAAAAAAAGAACAGTATTTTCATATAAATTAGGTTACTAAGCAGGCTGGTGAATAGTACTAGACTGCCTTTTAGATGCGGATTATGTATACATATACCTCATATATACAGGACAGACAAATAAATACAGGGATCTCTACAGTCCTTACCTCTATTAACTTCACAGCATTGTCATTTGGCAGATTTGTGGAATTTGAGATAAAGTTTCCCATTCTGGAAAATAATTATTTGACATGGTTAAATGTTTAGTTTGAAAATATTTGCCACTTTTCAATTTGAACTCATAATATGAACTGAAAATTCCCCTTTCCCTCACCACTCAGTTCCAACAGTTTATTATTGTTAAGTGACTGGACAATTTTAATGAAAGAATACCATTTTCACCAGTGATTTGACAAAAAACATTTTCTGCATGCGTTCACCATCCTCTGTAACATAAAAGGTCTATCTAAAATATATATATTTATCATGTTTCTGCTTTATTCTGCTGTTCATAGAGCTTAAATTTACACATACAATTATTACATACAGTAAATGCAGAATTTACGTATGTACTAATGCACTTGTATAAATAAGGCTCAAAATAATCACAAGCCTACCCAAAAGGAAACCCAAGTGTAATGCTGCAGGTAAACCTTCCCCTTATATTATGGAGATGAGGAGACAGGGAATTCAGGCAGGGATACTACCGATTGACTTCTGCACAACCAGTCTGTTGGGTTTTTGCCGATTGATCAGTGTCTCCGGCTATAGCTGGCAGCACTGGTCATTGTAAAACCGACTCCCCGCTGCCAGAACATAATAGAACAGCAGGGAAATTCCCCCATCTACATTGAATGTGTGGATGAAGGAATTGGATCATTTTTTTTTTTTTTTTTTTTTTTTTTTATCGTTCAACCCTGCAGGTTTTTGAACAAAAAAACAAAACAAAAAAAAAAAAAATAAAAAAATATATATAAATATGATGAATATATAGGCTTAGTTAACTCCATCTAAATCTACTAGTGTATCTAACACAACCTCCCCCAAGCTGACAATGCTGCTGTCCAAAAGGAGTCTCTGGTGCTCCTTCAATAAGAGAGGAGACACGCTATGACAGAAAGTGTGTTACTTATTTAGACCACCAGGTGAAAGTAAATGAAAAAAAAGCCTAAAAAAAAAAAGAAAAATGAGTGCATCTGCCACATCTAAGAATTGGTCAGCTGCAAAATATTAAATCTGAGTTTAACCACTTCAATACTGGGCACTTTTACTCCTTCCTGCTCCGCCAATTTTCCGCTTTCAGCTCTATTGCATTTTGAAGGACAACTGCATGGTCATGAAACACTGTACCCAAAATAAATTTTTATCTTTTTTTTTTTGTTCCAAAAAAAAAAAAAAAAAAAAAATAGAGCTCTCTTTTAGTGGTATATAACCACCACTGAGTTTTTTTTTTTTTTTTAACAAAAAAAAAAAAAAACAAACATTTTGAAAAAAAAAAAAAACTGTTTTTTCTTCATTTCTGTTATAAAAAATAAGCAAATAAATAATTGTTCTTCAGAAACTTAGGCCAAAATTTATTTTTTTTTTTTTTTTTTTGTACACACTGACCAGTGCAATATAACATTGCTATAGTAACATTGTACTACTCTGGGGAAGTGATCAGTAATTTTTTTTTTTTTTTTTTTTTTTTTTTTACACATTATGATTATTGCTTATAGCAATGAATTTCATTGCTATAAGCAAGCATTTTTACTGAATGAAATTGATTCAGTTTTTTTTTTATTGGTCACAGCTAATTACATGGCACAGATGGGCTGTGATTGGCCCAGTCTGTACCCTGTGATTACTGTAACCAGTCACAGCTAGCAACACAAATTGTACACAATGGAAAACATGAAAGGAAACCATCCATTGTTTACAATTGACATGAGACCTGCTGTGATTGGTCACAGCGGTTACATGGTACTGGCGGAGGGCCAGTACATTGATCATTCATCGGCTTTGTCACACCGTAGTGCGTCTACACAGGCACATGTGACGGTGATCTAGGAGGACGTCATATGACATCCACCCAAATTGATGAAAGTCCCGCCCAGCCTATAGCAAAATGATGGCTGGGTGGGAATTTTGTCAATTTGGGTGGACGTCATATGAAAATTTTTTTTTTTTTTTTTCTCTTCTGATTTTATTACGGTAATGCACTATTGTGAGTTTTCTTTTTCTTTGAGGTTTTTCACATAATTCACTGAACACAATCAACATTGCAAGATTCATAACTTTTTGGTTTCATTATTTTGATTATTGAGACACTGGACTTTTATGATTTTGTTTTGATTATTGGACTCTTTGGACTTTATGATTTTTTGGTAGTTCACGTTTAGAAATATATGGGGATTTTTTTGTTGTTGCACACATAGGTAGTTGAAAAAAGAGGGAATATTCTCTTTTTAGATTAATTTATTTAACTATCCTCCCATAGACTGATGTATCACACCTTTTCACACAAGAGGTTTCTGTGTTTTCGACCAGGTTAGGTAGTAGTAGGAGAAGAAAAAAAAAAAAAAAAACGCAAGAAAGTACACTAGCAAAAGAAGAAAGAAAGGAAAAAGACACTCAAAGGAGGGATGAAGGAAAAAAAAAAAAAAAAAAAAAAAAAAAAAAATCTGTGAAGAGAGTGAAATTGGCCAATTGGAACCATCAATTGCAGCATTGTTCCTCTTTGTTGGCTGCAGCCACTAATTTCTCAATTCGATGTGTTGCCTCAGTCTTGGCAAACCACAGGCAGAGTGGTGGAATTGTGGTCTTCCAAATAATGGAATACATGATTTTGCCATAAAATTGGGAGTAAATGTCTAAAGAAGGTTAACACTTTTTTGTGGACATTGAGGCTAGGTTCACACTAATGCGGTGCGGTACGGTGCGATTGGAGCCATACCGAAAAGGTGCAGGACCCTTTTTTGGGTCCGCACTAGAATCATATCGCATGGGTGATCGCCTAAGGGTGTAATTTTTGGATAGGCCCAAATATTTGTGAAGCATCGAGCCCTCATCACTCAATTTGGAAAGAGTCTATGTAACGTTGTAGTGACCTTGTACCACCTAGATAGAATTTTGTAGCATGCTTGCTGTATGGAACATGCAGTGGAGGCCCTGTAAGTCATCTGCAGGATTCTTTTTGTTTTACTTTAAAAATCATATTTAGTTCTATTTTATTCCCATTTGGTAAAGACTGTCGGGGTATAAGTTTCCGGTGGATTAGCAAGCATGTGATGCGAGCGGGACAAGTCATGCTGCATTGGTGCGTCTAAGCAAAGGGTTTCAAATTGAGTAAGCAGGGCCATGGAGTGTGGTTTACTACATAGATGAGAAAAGAAAATGTTGTAACTGCATTGCTTGCCAGAAGGGGAGAAGCGTAGATAGCGAAATATCCCCTCCTGAAGGCCTAGAGAAAAGCAGGGATGGCCAATCACTGGGGTCATGTGAGACATAGCATGATCAAAAAGGATCGGCCGCCTATCTCTCTGGAAAAGTTTAAGAGTGGTACCAGTCACTGGGTGGCTAAACAACAGTTTATGGATCTCCTGGAGTAGCCACAGAAGGCTTCCAAAAGGAATCTCCATGAATGCTTGTTCCATTTGGACCCATTTTTTTGGTTGCATGTAGCATGTTCACACCCTCTGATCTCTTGTAACACGTCCACTGTCTCTGACCATCTTTTGTAGCATATGCACACTCTTTGACCATCTCCTGTAGCATGCCCACACTCTCGTACCATCTCCTGTAGCACATACACAGACTCTATCTCCTGTAGCATATTCACACTCTCTGACCATCATCTGTAGCATCTACACACACTCTGACAATCTCCTGTAGCATAGTCACACCCTTTGACCATCCATTGCAGCATGTCCACACTCTATGACCATCTTTTGTAGCATATTCACACTTTTTCACCGTCTATTGCAGCATGTTTGAAGCAGAATAAAGACTAAATTGAACTTGAAGAGGTGTACAGAGATTCTACATATAAAGCATGGATATAAGATCTTATGAACATCAACATGGGATACAGAGATGGATATGAAGACCAAGGACCTCTTCACACCAGAATGAGGTGTGGGAAACCCGTGTTCTGTGTGTTTTCCCCAAGCTGTGTTCAAAACGCACTGTGTCAATGCATTCTTAAAGAAACCCAAAATGCAGATCGTAAACGCAGTGCGTTTGTGAGCACCGTATCACATGGTACTACAGTACCTGCATGCACTATTTTTGGTATGATCCAGTGTGATTTCAGCCCATTCAAATGAATGACTGAAAATCGCACTGAACTGAATCACACAGGAACACGGAATGTGTTCTTGTGCAATTCAGGTGTGAACCAGTCATAGCACAGGTACTTGCAGGCACCAGAAAGAACAAACACTTCAGCACTATTGGCCTAAAGCAGGGGGCCAGTTCACAGACCTTCAAACTGTTGGGGGGCCGGACTATGGTTTGAAAAAAAAAAAAAAAATATGAACAAATTCCTATGCACACATCTTATTTGTAGTGCAAAAAAAACAGGAAAAAGCAATAAAATATTTAAAATGCACTGTACACTGTAACACACTGGACACCGCAATGCACTGTATTCTAACGCACTGGACACCGCAATGCACTGTGCTCTGTAACGCACTGGACACCGATCCATTGTACTCTGAAACATACTGGACACCGCAATGCACTGTACACTGTAACGCACTGGACACCGCAATGCACTGTACACTGTAACGCACTGGACACCGCAATGCACTGTACACTGTAACGCACTGGACACCGCAATGCACTGTACACTGTAACGCACTGGACACCGCCGCAATGCACTGTACACTAACGCACTGGACACCGCAATGCACTGTACACTGTAACGCACCGGACACCGCAATGCACTGTACTGTGTAATGCACCGGACACCGCAATGCATTGTACACTGTAACGTACTGGACACCACAATGCACTGTAGCTGTTTAGTGTGCTTTCCTCCTTTCCTGTTGCTCCTCTGGCTGCAGCAGGTGAAATCCGGGGCTTCCAGGCTGCCGCTTGCTGGGTCTTTGCAGCCGAGGACCCAGTGAGCAGCGTAGGTATTTGCCAGCCGGCTCCATTTTTTTCCCAATTTTTTTATTGTTTCCCGGCTGGCCCGGCGGCCCAGATAAAGGTCTTTGGTGGGCCGTAGCTTGAGGACCCCTGTCCT